AATTTCTGAACGTTCATCTTTGTTGAAACTACCAGCACCAACTACCAATGGAGCGAAATCGAAATTTACACTGTAACTTACTTGACTTTCAAATGTTCCGTTCCCATTTCCCAGAAATATAACAAGGGTTTCAGTACCATAATTGGCCACAGCTATATTCGCTTGACCGTCTTTATTGAAGTCATGGATAACGATTGAGCAAGGATGAGAATTTAAGCCCGTTGAAAACATCATTTGGTTTCCAAAAGTACCAGTCCCATGTCCAAGAAGAATACCTATGTTATTAATACCATAGTTGGCAACGGCGATATCTAGTAGGCTATCATTATTGAAATCAAAAATGGCAAGGTCTCGCAAACGAGAACCAATGACAGATGCAAACGTGATTTTTTCTTTCAGAGCTCCTCTATCATACCGAAGTAGTACACTTACATTGGCGTCATTGAAATTAGCAACGACGATATCCGGTTGGCTGTCGTTATTAAAATCACCAACAACTACTGATGATGATGCAGAACCAGTTGAATATTTCGTTTGATTTGTAAAAGAGCCATTGCCATATCCGAGAAGCACACTTACAGTGTTGTCACCAAAATTAGTGATGATGATATCCAGATAGGTGTCGTTGTTAAAGTCACCAACAGCTACAGAGCTGGGCCCAGAGCCAGTTGAATATATCGTTTGATTTGCAAAAGAGCCATCGCCATATCCGAGAAGTACATTTACATTGTTGTCACCGTAATTAGCGATGACGATATCCGGCCGGCTGTCGTTATTAAAATCACCAACAGCTACAGACTGTGGCTCAGAGCCAGTTGAATATTTCGTTTGATTTGCAAAGAAGCTATTTCCATATCCGAGAAGTACACTAATAGTGTTCTCATCATAATTAGCAACGACGATATCCAGTCGGGTGTCATTATTAAAGTCCCCAAGAGCTACAGAGCTGGGCCCAGAGCCAATTGAATATTTCGTTTGATTTGCACAAGAACCGTTTCCATATCCGAGAAGTACACTTACAACGTTTCCAACTTGATTAGCGACAACGATATCCAATCGAGTGTCGTTGTTAAAGTCACCAACGGCTACAGAGCATGGCGAATTACCAGTTGAATACATCGTTTGAATGGGAAAAAACTCGTCATAACCAAGCATGATACTTATGGTGCTCGTATCATTGTTGATGACAACAATGTCTAAACGATTATCTCTGTTTAAATCACCTATGGCAACGGAAATGGACGAAGAAGATCCAGTTGAATACATTTTAGGGCTTGCAAAGATACCGTTTCCATATCCGACAAGTAGAGCTGTATTGTTAATACCATTATTGGTTACGACTAAATCCATTCGATTGTCATCGTTGAAGTCACCAATGCCAATAGAATATGGAGAAGCACCACTGAGGGAATATGTCATTTGGCTCATAAAAGTCCCATCACCGCGGCCCAGAAGTACACCTACACTGTTATTTCCATAGTTGGTGACAGCAATATCTAGCATAGTGTCTTCGTTTAAATGACCAACAGCAAGTGAGTATGGATGGGAATTAGGACCAGTTGAAAATGTAATTTGATTTGCGAAAGTACCGTTACTAGCTCCAAGAAGTATACCAACATTGTTTGTACCATAATTGGCGATAGCAAGATCCATATGTTTGTCGTTGTTAAAATCGCCACTGACAACTGCAAACGGAAAAGAGGCATAGCCCGTAGAGTACGTGCTTGGGTTTGAAAAGCTGCCATTTCTATATCCATAAAATACACTAACACTGTGTGTGCCGTAGTTAGCAGTGACAATATCTAGTGCTGCATCATTGTTGAGATCTGCTACATGGATCCAAATGGGACGGGATGATGCAACTGAAAGCACTGTTTGGTTCATAAAAGTCTCATTTTGGAATCTAAGGAGCATACTGACGCTGTTTGTACCGAAATTTGCGACGGCGAGATCCAGTCGATGATCATTGTCGAAATCACCAACAGCAACCATGCACGGAGCAGAGCCAGGGCCGATGGAATATATGACTGGGCTTGTCACAGTGCCATCGCCATATCCAAAATAGATAGCTATATTGTCAGCAACATAATCGGCAACAACAATATCTAGCCAAGTATCGTTGTTGAAGTCCCCCATGACGACAGATCGTGGACTACTCTTATAGTCAATTGGATTTCGGATCGTTGCTTTAAAGTTAAGTTCACATTTTGGAACTAAGTAACACAACAACAAAGAAATAAAGACTGATCAGCTACTAGGGTTTAAATATTCCTAGTGAATTGTATTAATCCGGATGCAAACCAGTGCTTTTCAAAAGAACCTCGTTGAGTCTCGCGGAACTCATCAGTCAGATTACTCATTGTCTGCTCTCTTTCATTTATTTGAAAATTCGTTCACAAAGCGTATAGTGACTGTCAAACAACGACATCGCAACTAATATGATTTAAGTAAGGACTATAGACTGATCCTAACTATATGATCAAAACCACTATCACCTCTATCTTACAGGTTCGTCTATGACATGCCATCGAGCACACATATAGCGTAATGGAAAAAAATTCTAAAGTGTTTCAAAATCAAAAGAATGCTAATGATGTTGCGTTGCAACAATCCTCTAATTGCGTCATGAATGTTTTTCACTTGTATATGGGAATATACAATGGATAGTTCAACAAATTTTTATTAATAGCATTTGCCTAACGAATTGAGCGATTATTCATTTTCGATGTTGCCTATCGGAACCTGTGATTCCCTATTGTCTGATCATTCTCGTTTGTCATCCTTGGATTCATTTGTTGCTAGACGTAGCTTATCACAGCTATGTAGTTTTTAGGATATTTTGAAAATTCCAACGAAAAAGATATGCCTTCTTCTTCAGATGATCAAGTCCGAAGGACTAACTAACCTTTTCAGTACGCAGTGAGCTACTAGGAAATATGAATA